AATATATTTTCACTACTCCAAAAAAGATTTGAAGAATATTATTATGTTCGACCCGTCCTAATGTACATATGAACATATGAAAAACGAAATAAACGATGTTAGAAAGGAAACCCCGGGATCTAGGATTCCAGGTAATACAGTGTCATATAGTGGTTTTATGTTTTTATATTAGTTTTTTTTTTTTTTATATTTTTTCAACTAGAAGCCTGAAGCCAGTTGTGGAATTTTCTAGAGCAATGCCGACCATCTATGTATGTACATACATACATATGTAGGTATGTCTCTACACACAGCCATTCATGTATACATACATATGTATGGATGTATATAATGCACACATAAATTTGCTACTGAATCCCTTATAGCTGGCTAAGTACCAACATGCATTCATACATGTGTACGTAAATATTCCAGATAAACAGGCAAGTGCATTTTAGCTCAAATCCACTTGATAAGCAAGTACTCATACAATACCTGCTAGTGCTTGTGTGTATGCGTATGAGCTCCTGTTTGGCGACATTTTTTCTAGAAACTTCACAACGTAACTTTTCACGTAGAATACGTTTTATGTTTCGGTATGGAACCTCGCTTTGCTCGAATTTAGTAGTTTTAATTTTCAGAGCTTTACAAAAACGCTTATTGACACGAGAAGTGATGAAGCGATTTCAATGAAAAATGCATCGTTTCTATGAAAAAATATCCCAAATTTACCGAAAATTCATTTTTATAAGTGATCACTTCGTTTTCTCTTATATAAACAACGGTAAATATTGGTTTTATTTTACGGCCAATTTTGAGACTTTAAAGTGCTCTAGCTACATATCTTTTGCAATAGAAATATTATTGTGTGCAAATTTTATAATTTTAAGGCAAAAACTTGTTGCAAAAAAAAATAATAATAACTAATCAACAAAATTTATTATTTCACGGAACCCTTATGACTTTTCTATGGAACCCTTGGGTCGTGTGGAACGTACTTTAGGAAGCTGTGCTGTAGCCTATCGGAAATGACCACTTAAATAATAGTGCCTTCTGACTTAAATGCTGCAAGTATGGATACCAGTTCATTATCAAAACTTCTTTAAAATATTAAATTTTTTAATTAAAAAGCAAAGTTTTGATAAATAAAGTATTGATTTTCAAGAATTCTATACCTTTTGTACTAAAAATTGTTTTTTCCCCCATACATACATACATGGAAAATTTTGAGCGCTTTGAGCGACCTCTAAATATTTTTTGTGATTTCTATATCAGAAAACACGGCTAGATGTTTTTCTATATAGAGCAATCCTAGGGGTGAGAGCACAAAATTTCGGACTATATTTTTTCCACTTGCACTTCTGGACCACCCCACAGTGTTTCGACTATATGGAGGCAGGTGGAAATAATAGTACACCTGCACCGATTTCACTGAAACTTGATAGTTTTACATAGAAATAGAGAATTATGAAATTTTGTAAAGATGGAATAATTGTCACGCCCTCTACCCTTGTGGGCGGAAACATTAAAGTTCATCCGATTTCGATAAAAATTAGTTTGCAGTCTTTATTTTATTAGAAAAATCGAAATATAAAATAAAATATACGTCCAAAACTAACAAAAAATGTGGGCCCAGTCATTAAATGTGATGGAATTTCATTTAATTTTTGTTTCCTGCTTTACACTCTCAGAAAACAAAGGTTATACTAAAAAATGACTTACGAGTAAATACTCGCTTTTTCCCAATGTTTGGTGAGATTTTTTCATTGTTCGAAAAATTCATTTCGCGAAATTGTGCAAAAAGAAGCTGAAAATCAAAAATTAAGAAAATCAAAAATTACATATAGATATTTGCAAAGTCGCGGGCAAGGATCAAATTATATATTCGAAAACTACATAGAATTCTCTAAAACATTCGTCTAATTTCAAGACCTGACCGACCGGTACTCACACTTTTTTTTTTACTAATAATCCTTAGCATCTGCATTTCAAAGTAAATTTTTTGGTAAGAAAGTAGAAAAGTACCAAATAAATGATAAGTACCTTCACCTGAATATTCCACGACATTTAAATAATTGACTACAGTTGAAAAACAAACACTTTATTTCCCGTAGTTTTTTTGGAAATGTATCGTTCGTGAAGAAGGGGGGTGAGTAAATAGTGTAAAATTTGGTATTTATGACTTTTACTTTTCCCTCTCTAAGTCCAACCGGTTGTTTTTTTTTTATCAACTGTCACCACGACTTTTTCTACCTGCCTCCATATAGTGGAAACACTGTGCACCCCAACGTACATATACATATGTATAATATAAATTGTATATATTTAAATTTTTTGCAAATGAATGAAAATATTGAAGTCCGCCAAGTGGTCAAGTGTATCAATATTAATTATATTGTTATATTCTTTTTTTTAATTTATTATAATAAAGCTTGCATTTGTTCAAGATAACTGGCGGCTGTGATTCTGCATACTATTTGTATACTTATAGGTAAGGTGTAAAACATTTTGTTTGTCAATCGTACTGATAAGGAAGATGCTTTAATGCTCGGTATATGTACATTTTTTAATTGTCATTGTTGTTTGACACCCTTGATCTCGCAAAATGTACAAAAAAAAGATGTTTCTTGGAAAGCTGAAATGACTGGTTTCGTTAGTCCAAGGTCGTGGTAGAATGTTTTGGGAATTAAGTTTAAAGGTCATACTAATTTATAGTGCAAAATTCCATGGTGCAGTAAAATAAAGTAAAACTTCCATTTTAATTTACTTTTAAGCAGAAAGATCTTCATAAAATACTTTTTTGTAGTTTCAGTCGCAAATGTCGACACTTTTCAACTGGTTTTTACTAACAGGATGTTATGTATATACATATTTATTTGTATGTATGTATAAGTACACAACACATATTTGAAATAATTTTCGCGCTTTTTTGCGCCGTCCAGTCGCCTCATGAACGCATGCACCTTCCTTCGACTAGAAATTAAATCAGTCGTAGTGAAATCAGTCAGCCGAATGATATTCAAGGTCCTTTTAAACGCAGATAATGCTTAGTCAAGTACAAAATATAATCGAAATAGTTGGAAATGAGGTCACAGACGTTTTTTGATTTGCGAATATATATTAAAAAAGAAAAAGTATTTCACTAATACGCATTGCAAAATTCAATGAATGAAAGTGTGAAATACTAAGAGAATTTAAATAGAATGTGCGAAGTAACTCATTCAAATTATATTCGCATATAATAAGTAGGCTTATTTCACATTTTGAAAAAAAAAAATATTTTTCCAAATCTAAAGTACCTCGCATAAATGTTCCTCCCCTTCCACGAAAATGCTTTATCCCGCATGGGCGTTGAAACCAAAACAATGCAATAAAGAATGCCATTAAATTTAAGTTCAGCGACCTTAGCATAAGATTTGCGATAGTACAAAGAATTCAGAATTCTGCGCCTAGCTGAAGTGATCATTTGTGTTGCGAGAATCCAATTAGTGTGCAAAATTCAAAACAATACACAAATCCAAAACAAAAAAAATAAAATAAATAAAAAGCCATGTTGATTAAGAAAATCTTTGGATGACGCAATCCGGATGAACCCCAAGGACCAAACAGACGGCACACTTGCTGCGGCTGATCGTCAATTCAATGATTAGAAATTATGTACATCGCGGCTCGCATTCTAATGTTTAAGAAATGAAGTTGCAGGTGAGCCAAAAAAATGCAACCCTTTTCCATAACCATGGGGCCCACATGTATTTATGTACTTAAGGTCGTACGTGAAACTTAATTCGGTTCAAAGCACGTTTTATCACTTTTGCTCACCCTCCAAAGCTTGAGCTAAATATTACTTAAATGAAACAATGAGTTGTGTCGTATGTTCGGTGCTTTACCGCATTCGCTAATTACAATCGTACATACATATTTAAATTTTTATTGAACGATTGGCATAGTTTTCTTTCGTTTTGTATGTATTCATTGAAAAAATAGGTGCTGCAAATCTCACGTGCTTGAGTTTATTTATTTGAAAATTTTGTTGCTTGCGAAGAGTGAGAGCTTCCAATCTACCACTATTTACTTCTGCTATTTGCATATATTGGGCAGCTATACTTGGAATATCCACGCAGTAAACTTCCCCTTTTTAGAGGCTCTTTCTGAGATCTGTTCCGCTCACTCGTATTTTGAGCAGCCTGGTACTCATTCACCGCTGGCCGAAAACGAATTTTGACTTGGTGTCTTTCGAATAGAAGGATAGAAGAGCCCCCGTATAGGAGCTCCTTCTCCGCGGAAGAGCTTGGACTGCTCAGTCGGGGCGCTGTCATAATGGTTGGTTGTGGGTAAGATCATCGCTTTTCACAGTGCAAGCCGATTTACGTGAAGTACCGTAGAAATACAGTCTTTTAGCGCCGACTGCAAACGCTGTCGACGGTCCACGTAGCACCCTATCCTAGGACGCCCTTCCAATCCCTCTAAAATGGAGGGGCATGCTTTTTTTTTTAAGGAGCTGGTCGACTTCGACACGTCACGCAACATGGTAAATAAGAGTATCTGACACAAGCAACGAAATACCGAAAACTCTATCAGAAAACAATGAAATTATTCAAATTAGACTAAAATTACACCCGTTTCCCGTATAACGGTAAATTTCAGAAATGCGAAAACTCCGATATTTCAATAACTGAGGACGCTAATTTACTCCAAGTTAATAGTTACAATAAACTCCTAACAATACAAAACACTGCTATAGACTTTTAGGAACTGGGCGTGGCACCGCCCACTTTATGACTATAAAGGTGTATCTCGGTAACCACTTTATCGATTTCTACCAAACTTGGTTCAATTATTACATTAAGTAGAGGGTGGTAACTCAACTCAGAGTTGAGTTATTGAGTTGATTCCTATAAGTGAATCGGTAACTCAGACTCCCTGTCCAAAAAAAATGTAACTCAGTAACTCAGTTGATGCCGTAGGGCTCACATGAATCAAT